CCCTCTCTCTCTCTCTCTGTATTGCTGTGTCTGTTCGCTGACTTCTCTCATTGACTCACTCCTCCCTGCTTCAGCTGGCTGACTGAGTGCGCTGACACTGGGACCACTACCTGCTGTCTGGGGATTAAGCACGCTATGAATACCCGGAGCCTAATTTGTTGTTTTGGCTGCCAGTGAATGTTGGATCCCCACAGAGCAGAAGCTGGAGCATAAATCCTTGTGGCCGGGACACGGGGAGCACCTCTGGACTAAGACAGAGGCAGTGAGAAAGGGACTGGATGCTTGATGAAGCGAGTAACAGAGAGACGACAAACCAGAGGGAAAAAAGAAAAGACAGGACAAGTTCTTTGCTGACAGTCAAAAGCAGAAGAAAGAAAATCAACCCAAGTCTTATTACGATCAGGACACAATGAGAACCATCTCCTCTCGTTATTAGGCTGGGATTTTCTGTCAGGGTGCTGACACGTGGGAAGAAAGCCTGACAAATCTCCGCCTCAAGCTTCTTGGTTGATTTCTGATCGCACACAGGTTTTTCTCTTCTTTCTTTGAGTTATTCATTCAGACTGTCTCTGTATTTTCCTGCTCATCCGTGGCTGCTTGGGGGAGGACACAGGTCGGCACTGACGGCTGGAGAGGGGATCGTGATCGTCCTCCTCTCCCAACTTTTTCCCTTTTCCGCCACTTCTGCTGACCTGCTTTCGGCCCCAGCCAACAGCGGCTTCGGGGGCAGTTGCTTACCCACTCCATGCGAGTGGCCAGTAATGAAGGTTATTGAACTGAGGAGGCGTGGCATGCACACGGGAGAGAAGGGGAGGAAACGCAAACCATTTCTGTGATCCCGGGAGCATATGGTTTAGCGAGAGGCAGCCAGCTGCTTTCCAGCCATCCGGCTAATCACGCTGAAGAAGACACAAGTTTCTCCGGTGACGGTGTCAGGTTTGGACAGACCTTGCCTGCTGTGGTTTTATATCTGTTCACACTGGCAGGATCCATTCAACCATCCATTCAAGAAGTCAGTCCTTCGGATACAAGAAGCAGTTGACTTAGAGGATCGCACGCAAATCATCGCTGAGGAGAGCAGCCAAGCATTGTTGCCCCAACAGGCAGCAGCCACAGGGAAGCTAAAAAAGATGCTCGGAAATCACTTCATAGGGAAATAATTGTGACACCACATGTTGTTGGTGAGCACCAGACCTTGGCTTGTTTTCAAAAGGCTTTTGACAAAGAAAGGGAGTTCTCAAGGAGCCGGCGCTGTCAGACCCCTTTCACCTCCGTCTAATTACTAGTCAGGGTCACTGGGAAGAATTGAGAAGATTCCTTCTGTGGATTTACTGTCAATCTCCTGTGGAAGTTTTCATTGTGGATATCTGACAATCCTAAAACACCCACATCCTGTCAGCCACATTTCTGGCTTAGATGCATCTCAAACACATGAATGCCAAGAGCGCTTGAACACACATTTACTAACTTATCACCAACACTCACTTAAATCCACACACATATTTGCACTGTAAGTATAAAACAAAATACACACATATACTCACACTTTGAAAGCCCATTAGTTTGTCTTTTTCCCAGAAGACACAGCGCAATGGAGGTTGCATGGACAGGTGGGGGGCTGTAGGAGTTCATCATCCCTGTCCCCCTGTCTGTCCCCATTCCTCAAATGGATGTTATTATTTCTAAAAATGTGTTACTTGGAAACCACTGAAAGCTTGCTGCTGCGATTCTCAGAAAGAAACAGTCACCGGGTCCCCGCCACGGTGCTCAGCTGGAACCACAGCTGAAACACGGACCATTACGGATCTCTTTTGCTTTCTATTTTCTCTTCATCTTCATCTTCTGTCCTTATCCCACCGCCATCATTTTTTCCAACGGGTCTTTGGGCACCCCTCGTCGCCCTCCTCGCCCCGTCATCTCCTCCACCCTGGAGGGGAGGGGGTCATTGGAGTGGAGCATGAGCGGGTGCCACTATCCCTCGCCCACGCCGCCGGAGCGGGATCGCAGGTACCAGCACAAGGTGTCCTTGGTGGTGCGCTACTTTATGATCCCCTGCAACATCTGTTTGATCCTGCTGGCCACATCTACGCTGGGCTTTGCCGTGCTCCTGTTCCTCAACAACTGTACGTTGGTTCAAAACACTCAACTTTACTGTTGTACTCAACTGTTTTCTTCTCTACTGCATTTTTGTGACACCTAAATGCGCCGCTCACAAATCACATAAACCCCAATTTAAAGCATTTGCGCTGCCTTTGAGACAAAGTTTAGTTGGGAAGAAATGGTTTAGTAGTAAAACATAAAATACAGCTTGCATTAAATGACCTTGTTTAAACATCACCTCTCATGACAGCCTTATCTGCACACGAGTAGGGACATCAAGACAGCTAAAGTCACAGCCCCCCTTCTTTGGTTGTTTGTCTGCAGGCTTTTAAAACTGCTTCATGGTTCCTCAGTAAAGTCTTGGCATTTACTTGGAACTGCAGGATGAAATATTATATGGTGATTAAATGCCTTGAGAGGATGTGAAAATGTCTTTTGGCCTGGAAAGCTGCAACCCCCCCCTGTCATCTGCTCCCACTGCGTGATCCCTTTCCCACTGTATATTCAAGTACAGTGGCTCATTAAGAAGGGGGAGGCGTAGTGTTTGTGAGCCTTATTTTCTGGTGGTGGTTTTGATGTGGGGGATGTGTCAAAGAGTTTTCAGAGAGCTGTTAAAAGAATAGACACCATATACCTGGTGTTAACGTCTTTCCTGAGTGATCTGATCACAAGTGGACAGCGCTAAGTTCAGGTGTGTTCACTCAGACCACATTGGAAGGGGATCTGGGTGATAACATTCTTAGCCTCTGACCCGATACTGTTTTTACGCATGTCATTGACCATATGTTGATTTTGATCATACTGTTTGTGGTCACAGCTACAATATCAACACTGATCACCACATAATGATTTCCATATTTGTCAAATGTAGAGCCGTGCTCAGCTCATTGATTTGCCGATTATTCTCTTTCTATTTCTTTCTCTCTTGTGCGGAAACACACTGAAGCACAGTGAGATTGGACACATCTGTAAAGTCAGACAGGTTAAAAACAACATAATTAGTAAAGAGAAATATATATAAATAGACACGTTCATTTGCATATAGAGCAGGGAAGTAAGATCCAATCACTAGTGGTCACATGAGACGCCTTCAGGACTCATTTTAAAGCCAGGTGTAAAAATACAAACTACAGATCTTATACAAAAACTGTATTCATGACAGGTTTAGCCTCAAAGAGCCAATAGTTTTCCCTACAACTGAAATTCACCGCTCACCTGTAAACAATGTGCAAACTTTTCTTTTTTTTTACATCACCATCAGCATACTTTCCCGGGGTTTCCCCAGCCTACATTAACACTGACTCTCTCACAGCGTCCTCACTCTCTCACAGACCTACACAAGTCTATTCATTAGTGCCTTCCCTGTTTAGACTGTATTAAACTGTAAATAACTCTCAACTTGCCAAAGTGGGCTTTCATTTATGCAGGACTTACGCCACATAATCATTTTCAAATTGTAAAAAGTAAGTAAATAAACAAAATAAGCACCGTCATTTTCATGCTGCCAAATTCAGGTTGAAGTGGTTTTCACTTTGAAGAGAGAGACTGTGTTAATCCTCTTCAGGCAGGGCTGTTTTTTCATGTCAACCCTTTTCCTGTGACTTTCTCTTATATCTGTTATCAGCCTGTTGATGTGTTTGAGGCAAAGTCCTCGCCGCTTTGAGGATGCCACTGCATATTTCAGTGTGCCACATTCACTTCTACGTTTGTATCCTTCCTTCATATTTATCAGTTTGTCCTCATTTTAATTGGTGGGTGTGCCTGACCAGGAGCGCAACGGTTCATTTGCAACCCTGTTGTGTTACAGAATCAATTTCTGCCACAGATTTAATACAAACTCAGTTAAAGCAATCTTCACCACTCAGAGGACTGAGAGAAAAGAAATGCGTGCTGGCGAAATTGATGAGGTAAAAGGGAGTCTGTTATGCTGCCAAGAGCCCTCGCCATGTGGCCACAAGGACAGCTGGGCGGTGATAGTGATAGTGCTGGTAGTGGTGACGTGTGTGTGTGTGTGTGTGTGTGTGTGTGTGTGTGTACATGCGTGCATGTGTGCGTTTGGAGGAGGGGTGTTAGAGGAGTCTTGCAACCTCAGATTTGCAATTTCTGTTTTCACCATATGGGGTGAAGCACCCCCCCCACACACATGCACACACACACATGCACACTGTGTGTAACCTCCTCATACCCTTGCCAATGGAGCCCACACATAGAAACAGACTCAGTTTATCATTCTGTTCAACTATACATCAACCAAACCAAAGGGGAAGGTAACACACATATAAAGACACACACACACACGTCTTTGTGTGTCTATGCTAAATGTCAAAGTGAAACACATATTGATTTGCTGAAGATATAGGCTGAATGATGGCCATGTTGTGACATTCACACAGGAACAGGAACTCACACAGGCTTTTCCCGGTACAGGGGGAGATGGGAAAGCCTGATATGTTTATGTAAAGACCTTATCTTGTCCTTTCATTATGGAAATGTGATGAAATCATTTTTGCTTCGCCCGGCACCTCAGCACACTCCTTCTCTTCTTGTGCGACTGTACGCCTGTATCTGTTCCTGTTTGTTTGCGTGTGTTCACACATGCTTACGAATGTGCGACAGGAAGTGCAGCCCTTGTGCATGTCTGCTCCACAACCCCCCCAAGATGGAAATCAGTTACCATCATGACTGACTGAGAAAAAGCTTCAGCAGACACTTCATTATTCACATGTATCACCAGCCTCACCTCTCCTCTCCCCTCTTCTCATTTTTTCTCCTCTCCCGCTCTCTCTTCCTCCCCTGAAGCCTGGCTGTTGACAAGCAATTTTAAGTGAGCCTAAATTTAAAACTCAGCTGTGTCTCGGGACGCCGACGGGTATAGCAGAAGTCCCGGGAAAGGCTTCGATGCAATGGTTGATGGGGTCCCAGAAAAATGTGTTAGCTGCGTAATTGATGTGATGTGTGTTATCTTCCTCATTATCTCTCACAGTGCCAAGACATTGGAGAGACGGCTGGGTGGCTGCGTATCCATTCTGAATGTGTGTGTTGGTGTTTTTGTTCAGCGCAGGCAGCTCTGACAACTCGTCAGGTCTCGGCTTAGTGAGTCCGACAGCCGAGTTGCCCGCGAGTCTGCAGATGGTGGTGTGGTTGGGTTTGTGTTCAGAACGGTGGTGCTCTGGTAAACTGTGACCAGTGTAACATGATGGTGTTTGTGAAAAGGCGGTTCATTTAAGCCGTTTTCAGACATGACCTGCGGGTAAAATTGGCTAGGGAGTTTATCCACAGTTTGCCTTTCACACATGTACAACATAGCGGGAGGTTCTGCGCGCAGAAGCGTTCACAACTGCACAACTTGCATCAGACAGAGGCAGGAAATGATGCATTAACTCTGCTGCGAACGTGATTTTCTTGTCGTAACACCGATGTCGTATATTATCAACACAAACTCTCTTGACACATTTGTCGGTGTCTTCCACTTGTGTCATTGCTTCTTCACTGGGAGATATTTGTTTTCTTTTAAAAAATGTTTTTTTTATTTTTGAGCCTGCGTTGGAAGCGTCACCCTTGATTACTTGTTTAATCATCAACAAATCATTAGAACATATATTGGCCACAAATTGAATTTGATAGGAACATAATACTAAATTAAATAAAATGACAGTTGCTGTTTGTCTCTGCTTCATATTGTAAAATAAATATTTGTGGGTTGCAGATTGTTTTTCTGACAAAATAAGTAATAAGAAGACGTCCCCGCAGGCTGTTGGAAATTACTTTTTCGTTGTTTTCATTTTGAGACATTTTTTGAAGCCTAAACAGTCATATCCCAAAAAATAAACCTGAGATTAATTAAAAATGGAAATAATTTTTAGGGATAAATACATAAAATGACTGTTACTTTCTGCCTTAATTAATAATTTTTTGCTTTTGCCTTTTTTCCCGACAAAACAAACCTAAAACAAAGTAATTGCTCTTCATCCACCTTCATTACATAAACCTCTATTGATTCATGTACATTGCCTGGTTCAGTTTGTCTTCATTTTCAACCGTCAAATGTCAAATGTCAAAACTGCAAAGGCTCTGGTTTCATGAGATTTTTGTCCCTGAAAGTTGCTCCACACTCAGTCATTTGACACTGCAGGTTTTGTCTCAAGGTTCCCACAATCCTACAAAGCCTTATGTCATCATCTGCTGGGTGTTGACCAGGAGAGAAAGCATGATGTCATTTGATATATTAGAGGAAAAGAGTTGTGATTCATTCTGCATATGGTTGCTGGGGGTTGGGGGCTAGGCAGTAATTTTCATTGATGGACCATTTGTCATCACTGTGACATCACTGATATTTCAAATCCCCTCTCACACTTTTCAAAAAAAAAAACAAAAAAAACACCAGTGTTTTCAATTCTCATGTGTTACAATATCAAGAGTCACGCAGTGTGGTTTGAGACAAGACCAAAGAAACAATGAATGTCACAACAATGAGGAGACTGCTATCGCTGAAATGTAGCCGTGTCGATTAGCTCAGCTGGGCTCCTCAGGGGCCCAGTCACAGCATTAGAATGTGTTAGATAGAAAAGTCAGGCCTGTGGACAGAATGTGTCTCTTTTTTTTTTTATAGCAACTCAATTACACTGCCTTTACCCCAGGGAAGTCTCTGAATCCCCCAAAACTAAAAACCTATTTCTCTCTCTTTTATCTCTTTCAGACAAACCTCCTCACTTCACACCGGCCCAGCCTCCTGATGGTAAGTCCTCTGTGATTTCTCTCTGCTCGTCTTCACTGACCACCAGTGTTTAGGGGGGGTGCCTGCAAATAATGACCTCAGACGGTCATCGCTTCCTTTGAAGTGGGCAGGCGTCTGTGTGTGCTGCCAGATTCGGCTGCTCCCCCTTTTTGTTTCCACGCCGTTGGTATGGTGGGCACGTGGCCAGGTCTGCTCGGGGCTTTGATGTGAGAGGGATCTTTTGATGACTTGATTTGATCTGCTCCACACAGCCAATCGGGCTGATGTTCAATACCTGTTACCTGCAGCATTCACATCCATCTGATGGGGTTTAATAGGATAATATCCCCCCTGTCCCAGAGTAATCTACATTACTTTAGACTGCTGAGGGTTTGGAGATTGGGGGTGCAGAGCCGCACCGTCACCCAACCTTGTTATCACTTGTGCTTTTCTCACACACACACACACACACACACACACACNCACACACACACACACACACACACACACACACACACACACACACACACACACACACACACACACACTGTATAAATCATTGCAATTGGCACTGTATTGTTTCAGCCGTTTTCTGATCCAGTAACATCCGTCGTTAATTAAAAAAAGTAGCAATTTATTTCCAAAACGGTGGAGCTCGGCAAGTTTTAATTGGATGAAAACAGCTGGTTTTCAGGCTGCTGTCATGAATATTTATCAGCAGCATCACAGTGAGTGTCATAGACTTTGGCGTTGTATTTCTTTACTGAGCTGACAGTGACCGGCTCCGAGTACTTCTAAAGGTGTTATATATCGTCCTGCTTGTGCGACCGCTACAAAGCCAGTGTTTTGTTGGGAGAAAACACAATGAGAAAATGTTTCTAATGATGCTAGCTGGCCAGCTGATGCCAATGACAAAAGGCCACAGTGGGGGCTTGCTGAGTCTGTGTCCTGTAATTGCTCCATAGGCCCGCTTGTTTGGAGAAGCGGTTTTATGAAAAATGTCATCCTTAGAAGAATGTATGAAATTAGAGGTGGTTTATTATGAATGTGATTGTCTGGCCACATCGGGACAATAGGTTCTTTGCTGTCTTTGAAGTTTGACTTCGATAAATAAGTAATTGCTCTTGATTGGAGCATTTTTCAACTTGGCCTCACCTCGACACATGAGGAGTCAAATTTTTTCCTTTTTGTGCCTCATATCACAAAACTGCTGCAGATTCAATTGCAACTGGTAGAGTTTAAAGCAGCCGTTTGTTTTTGTTTTAATGACGGATGAAATTGACTTGACAAATCATTATATCTCACCGAGAGGTCTCTATTTGTCTGTTTTTGAAGCAAATGTTGCCATAAATTTCGGCTCTCCACTGGGAAAATGAGAAACAGTATGCAGGCAGTGAAGCAGCTCATTTCTGTCCTCCATCGAATTTTCCTCCACAAAAGAAATAACGCCCTGCCTATCGATCGAGCCACTCATTTCCCAAGTATTAAACTTATTTTTTTCTGTCTTAGGGGCACAGTTTGTTTCTGCACTAGTCAACCGTTTAAAAGCCGCTGCTAGCCCTTAATTACATTTGCAATAGTTCTGTAGGCTTTCCATCAGCAGCCTATGCTGTTTTAATATGCCAAGCAAAACAAAAAGCAAAGTCTCCAATCAGTGGGTAAGCCTGCCCTGTGGGACGCAGTTTCTCTGGGTCATTTAACTCTGGAGAGATTAGTGAGACAATTAGAGTTGGCCCAAATACGACAGTAGGCCACTTGTTGGAGATGTATGGTTTTAGCAGTGGTGGAGGCGCAATTTAGAAGATGTTGTCGACGAGCAGAGGCCTGGTGTAGCTCTGCTATTAGTCAAATCTGCTCCAAAGAGCACATGGCTTTTTTTTTTTCCTACTGAACTTGTCCTCAGCGCCAAGGACGCTCCACTCTCCAGTACTTAATTACAGGAAATCACAGACAAGATACCAAGGACTCTGCATTTTTAAACAGCCTAGTTTGTCTCTGAACCGCGTTTGATGAAACGTCCTTATTAGCACGAGGAGATTCTGCAGAAAGTAAAAAGAAATTTGTTCTGCACATTAGAGCGAGAGAATCTTGGGACTTGGGAAAAATTGCAGTTTCGACACAACATAAGCACAGCTCTCAGATGATATTTATGGTGCACGCCACCCGCAAATAGCTGGCGAATCCTCCCTACTGAACGGCCTATAATCACCAGTCAAAAAAAGTGACAAAAGTCACAAAGCGGCCTTTAATCAGGCTCTTCTGAAAGCTCAAAGCAGCAGTTGCCTGGCTCCGGCCGTACTCATTATTGCCTGACGTCTCCTGATAATAGGACAGTTGTTGTGTGTTTGGCCAACGCTAGAAAGCTCAGAGAATTTGCAGCTAGAGGGATTAATATTGGACTTTGGAGGAGGGGTCACCTGCCAGAAATGCTTCATAAATGAGGCTCTCGGCCCCCCCAGTTGTCAGTGTCTACATTCAGTGAAAACACTACGTGTTTGTCCACCTAAGGACATAGGAAGGAGGCTGTAATAATATTTGATAGAGATTATATACAAGTTTATTCATGGCATATATTTTAACAGAGATTTAAGAGGAATTATTACCAAAGTAGACATTTATTATATGTGATTTATAGCAAATCTAGTCGTAACTGAACAAGGACAAACAAGAGATTCACCTCTTGAAATCTGTTTCAAGGTCTTCAGGCTGAGAGGAAAATCAGGTGCGGATGACTCCCTGGAGGTATCCTTCATTTCATCATATTGCAACCTTAGATGACAAAACACAGGTCAGACGAGATCCCAAATAGGCCAGCGACTTAGAAGAAAGAGAGCGTAATAGAGGAGCGGAGCATCAGGCAGTTCAGAGGTCTCCTGCGACTGGAGCCGTCTCTAGCACAACCTGCCTGGCAGGAGCCCATTCGCTCTGAATCCTTCAATTTGGCGTTTGTCACTGACAGCATTCCCGAGAGGATGCTCCTCGCTGACAGACAAAGTAAACTCCTGGACTGTAATGTGATTTGATCAAAGCCTTAAAAAAAGCGCCAGCAGGCTCACTTACACTTTGAGAGCAGCACCACTTCCTAAAGAACTGACATAACTCTTTGTCAGCTCTGGGAGAACACAGTAAACGCTCCACACCCATAACCCCCTCAGAAGGGGAGAATAACACACACACACACACACACACACACAAATATGCGCACAACCCGCATGTAATTTATTCGGCCAGAGCTTTTCCCTGTGTTCTTGACAGTAAGCCTGACTCTGAGAGAGGCAGAATTAATTATTACTCCTCGGCCTATCTTAATTAAATCTTTTCACATCATAGATTTCACACAACAGAGGCAAAATATCTACCTCATCTTTAAGCCGAGGCGGGGTACCGGCTGAGAATGTCTCACATCAAGATATCAAAGGTACACTGTAAAGTTGCCTCTCCAGGATTGCGATTTCACACAAGAATTGTCATGTCCAGCTGTTAACAGAGAGCAGCTTGTTATCCCACCATTGTGCAGGCTGGTGGGGAAAGGCAGAGCGGGCAGCCTTGACTTAATCAACGGAAAGTTTGTTGCCCTTTTAAAGTACACAGAGCACTGAAACTGCACGGCTGAACTCTGTATCCTTACGGCTCCCCTCACGTCTGTGGACTCAGCAGATGCTTGTGTGAGCATCTGTAGAACTCAGTAAGTAGCTTTTTTTTTCATGAAGAAAGGTCAAAGGCAAATGTCCCCTCACCTCCCACATCTAACAGTCCATCTTTGACAGCGCTCCCACTAAGGCCCGCCTCATCTCACCTTGCTCACTCAGTATCGATCTGCCAGGATGGGTCAGAGGCAGTCGTCCAAAGAGACGAAAACAAAAATATTAGCCAGAGAGGAGAGAACTGAGTGGGCAGGAGCTGTAAAGTGCAGCACTATTTGCTTTTGAGTCCCTATGACACAAAGTAATTGTTTACACGGTTATTGATGCCGGTTTGTTTTGAGATGTCCCCTGGCTGCAGAGCAACCCCTGGCGGCCGCTGCTGCAGGTTATTCCAGGACCTTGGACCTTGTAAGGATCAGCAGTTGTTTGATGTGGACGGACGGCATGCTGAGCTATCTGTGGCTGTGATCAAGAAGCCGTCAGCCAGCAACCCCGATAACCACGTCTGATTTCTTGGCATAAGGCCTTGCTGTTATATAGAAACCTTGCTGATCTGCACAGTTGCCATCCGCTTCAATTCAGCTTTATACATGTCAGAGATTTAAAGCAAGAGAAGAGCATTCAGGATTAAATCAGAACAACCCAAACAATGAAATAGAAAATAAAATTTCCAGAATGTCGAGTCCCTGAAATGAAATAGATGAAATGTCATTAGGGGGGTAAACAAAACTCAGTATGAAACCATGGGAGCTAATTAATAGAATCTCTTATCACTCAGCATGACAGTGCTGAGAGATGGTTAAAAGCCCACCTGTTCACATGTCTTTGTCATATATTGGATGTAATAAACATGCAGAATGGCCCAATGTCTTTTTAAACAGGCACTCCATGTTCTTTGCATGGTGACGGCAGGGGTAGCCATTCGGCACCGGTGCAAGGCTACGTCATTAATTTCTTCTCACTGACACAACAGAGATTTATTTTAGTCGTCGTTCCTCTTTAGGCTGTGATGGGCAGAAAGTTGGGAGGCGCAGTCAGAAAATAACCACACCGGGAAGTGTAACCAGTGCAGAGAGTTTCGTTGTTGTCTATTGAGTCAGGTTGTTGATTAAAGGAAAATAAGTGGCTTGCCGTGTCAGTGTGTTGCTGTAAAATATTGCGCCGTGATATCCTGCTATTAGACGAGTCCTGCTTCCCAACCGTTGTTTGCCTTATTGAGAAGGGCAAGTTAATGGAGGATTGTGCTGTGCACTGACAAACCGCTCACACTGATCCTGTGCATGTCTCAGTTTTCTGCAGAAGTGACGACTTCTGTTAGAGTCAGGCGTCTTTAGGTCAGTGCTCTCTTGCTCTCTCTCGCTCTGTGAAACACACACG